CACAAACATCCAAACTTTCCAATGCTGAGTATAGCGCACATATACTATATTAGACCTACTATAACATATATTAGGTCTAATATAACATATCAGACCTAATATAGCATATTAGACCTAATATAGCATATATTAGGCCTAGGATTGTCTGCGCCTTGGGACATGTTAGGTTCTCTACTTTACCATTTCTTAGGCTGCCTTTTAAGCTAATTTAATAATACAAAACACAAGTTTTTGCGAGTCCAACAGCCCACTTTTTTACGTTCAGCCAAACAGTTGCTAAAAATAATATTACTGGATGATGGGTCATCCAAAAGACACACACAAAGTAATGCTAAAGTAATCAGTCAAGCATCATCAACTCCTGCACTGGCTTTAGTGGTTTAGCATCACCTTGTGAATAAAATTAGAATTAGCCTGTGCTTGCCAATAAACTACTGTACATTTGGCTGTTTGTTTCTGTAACTCATTCAGACTGTTCATTTGCACACTAACCTTAGGTAATTACTTATAAAATAAGAAGGCCATTGCCACACTTATCAAACAAGAAGGCAAATTTGCACACTTATAAAATAAGAAGGCCATTGCCACACTTATCAAACATGACGGCAAATTCGCACACATATATAATAAGGCAAAGACACACACTTATCAAATAAGAAGGCAAATTTGCGTACAAAGCTGCTATTAAAGCAAGCAGAAAGCTCATTGTAACAATAATGGAAAAATGTCATGAATGATGGACATGGAGAGGGGGAGAAGATACATCCATATGGTTAAGCCAAATCTAGGACCGACTCCATACAAAGACCACCAGGGCAGGTCAGCACATGCGTCTCGTGCAATTTTAAATGTGCAACCCATGGATTGCATTCTTTGAAGACGCCCAACCCACACATTTGAAATAAAAGCCCGGGGCAGAGCAAAACCTCCTCATTTGGCTTTCTTTTCAGACGAGTGGGTTGTGTGTCTTGAACTTTCAGTCACATTATTGTGACAAGCTCTCTGCCTGTGAACAGTCTTTGCATTGCACAGATTAAATATTGAAAATACAATTGGGGACATTTGTAAGTCTGTTAGATGCTTGTGAAGGTACAAAAATGCAATAATATGGAATGACATGGTCATATTTGTCCAACTTCCCAAATGTAGTGAGTTGACAACGTACATTGTTCCAAACATGCTCAGTACGCTCTGACATCCGAGCTGCACACATTATACTGTCCAAGCTGTACACAACAGTGCTACATCCAAGCTCGACAAAATAGTGTTATGTCCCAGCTGTACAGAACAGCAATACATCAAAGCTACAGAGAACAGTGTTATGTCCAAGCTACAGAGAACAATGTTATGTCCAAGCAGCAGAGAACAGTGTTATGTCCAAGCTGCAGAGAACAATGTTATGTCCAAGCAGCAGAGAACGGTGTTATGTCCAAGCAGCAGAGAACGGTGTTATGTCCAATCAACAGAGAACGGTGCTACAGGCATCTATACCATATCCACAGTGACCCAAAGACCAAATAGATAACTATTGTTATCATGCAAAGGTCTTTTACAAAACCTAATGGTAGTTTTGGGTCATCTTAACCCTATATTAGTACCCAGAGGGTGTTTAAATAACTCTCCCCCCCCCCAACAAAAAACATTGTCTATGAGGTGATGAGTAAAGAGCAAGTGGAAAATTTTTATTCATCAGAGTATGTGGATAATGTTAATGTGATTATTTGTATTTGTTAATGAAACATTTGCCAAAATAACCATTCATATCGCTTTATTTTCATAAATAGCTGCACATTTTTTACCTTTATGCTGTGTCATTTGTATTGCATAATACAAAATATATAATCTGAAGCAGGAATTTTGATATAGGAACATTTGAATGCAATGAATCGCTAGATATTTTCTATTGATATTCCACGATGTTAAATTGTTTATCTAAAAAGTGATTTGGGGAGGGGGGGGGGGTGAGAAGTCAACACCAGGGATTACTGAGGTGGTTCTGCGGATCACTGTCCCTGTACTCACCTCACCTAGTTGTACTCGCCTAGTTGTGCTTGCGAGGGTTGAGCTCTGGCTCTTTGGTCCCGCCTCTCAACCGTCAATCAACAAGTGTACAGGTTCCTGAGCCTACTGGGCTCTATCATATCTACACTTGAAACTGTGTATGGAGTCAGCCTCCACCACATTACTTCCTGTGGACCAATCCTTGACCAGGTCGGCCACCTGGTCAACGGTGACGTCAAGGGTCAGGTCAACCAGGCTGTGTAAGACACAACTGCTCTCAGTTTGACACATGAAGGGAAGGGAACTATCAGGAGAGAGCACCAAGCCATTCCAACTATTCAGCACTTGGAAGGGATCGGGATAAGGATTTGAGATAGGACAGGGAGGAATGGTGCCCAATCACTTGGATGGTCGGGGATTGAATGCCGACCTGCATGAAGTGAGAGCACCGAAAAGTGGCTGGCTAGTCATGCCGTTGTGTTCAGAAGTACGGGATGTTGTGAAGCTATTGGACCTTATTGTTTATGGAATTGTCTCTAAAGTATACCCACTGCACCTCTACTTTAAATAAGCAATTTTGCACAGTTTGTCATGCTTTCTGGTCTCTTAAGAAATTATTATTTCCTTACTTCCAAGATTAGATTTGGTACTAGGCCTTTAATATTTTCCAGGTGGAACTATTATGTGTGTGTCTGCGCTCCAAGAAGTACGCAACCTGACATCATTGTTTGTCTCAGTAAGTTCAACACTTCTTTTGTAATCATTAAATGTCATTAACCCTTAAGCTGCTAAGGGGTCCTGAGGAAATTTACACCCCTGAGCGCAAGAAAAAAAAAGTTCTAAAACATGTTTTCGTCTTCTAAAAATGTTAATTTGTGTTCCCTGAGCACGGGGGGGGGGGAGGGGGGGATGGTAGGCGACATATTTTGGCCGCAATAGGCCGAGGAAGTCTGGCAAAATGTGGGCGTTGACAGAGCAGTCGTCAGTGGTGGTCAGCATCACCCGAGCTGTCAGGTAGGAGTTACCACAAACATATTATTACCTAATTATTTCAATGTCTCTGATTGATTTTTTCTTAGTTTTTTGTAGTAATATTATTCAATAGTGTGTAGTTTGATAGATTTATATAATAAAATGTGTGAATCATCGCTATACTCAAAAGTGTGGTGTGCATATTATTGATTCAATTATTACGTTCATAAAACAATAAAAAAATAGTTTTGCTGTTATTACACTATATACACACATTATATATAAGTATCTACATGTTTTGTTCACCACAACTGTACAACTAAGCTGATATAGTTAGTTCAGGCACTAAGAGACATCGCTACACACACAGTCAGCTGGCGGCTACCTCCCTCACTCACTCAAGGTCAGGCGCAGTAAAATTTCTCCCACAAACTGTTTGTGGTATTATTACACTATATGCACACATTATATATAAGTATTTACATGTTGTATGCACCGTAACTGTACACCTGAGCTTGTAGAGTGTATAGTGGCCACCCTCTACACAGCTAGACAAGTCATGCAGACGACGCTATCTCGGTCACCCAAATTGCTCCTCCCAACATAATCCTTTTGCTGTTATTACACTAATACACACATTACATATAAGTATCTACATTTGTGTTCACCATAGAGAACCACTGAGCTGGTATGGTGAATGCAGACAATAACAGGTGGCCACACAGTCAGTAAACGATGCTATCTCCCTCCCTCCCTCCCTTAGCATTACTCCTCCCACACAGCACTAATTATCACAACAATCCTGCTATTATCACAATCCTGGTCATTTTTTATCAAAGTCATGGGTCATCTGTAATACTGTCATTGCTAAATAATAGCAGTTACATATTTATTTTGACAGTTTTAGGCAATGCTGTGGTCACAAGCTGAACAGCAATGCTGTTAGCTCATGTTGCGTGTGCCAGCCTTGGTTACTCCCACAGTACAGTGGTTCTCACATCGGAGAATATTGTCCACGATTTTTTTTAAACATGGCGTCTGTTTACAAGAGCCCTGAGGAAGCTGATGTGAACCCCGTGTAGTTGCGGGCCATTTGAATCGTGCTTGGCACCCTATGGCGTATATATATATGCCATGCGCACGGTGGGACATGTTACTCATGGTGTATATATACGCCATGCACAGTTTAAGGGTTAAGAGTACAGTGAGTTTCACCAAAGTATTGGAGAGAGGACAAAAGGAGCAGGAAATTGAATAACCACCAGCATCATTGGATGCACGAAGAGGCGTGTGAATGAAGCCAGGATACGTCAAGCATTTACGCAACCTCTTACAGCACCTGTACATCTTTCAACAATCATGGCCGCTTTGTTTATATTTATTAAACAGTTGATGAACTCTGAAGCACTATGAGATTGTTTAGAATAATAATGACCTTGCAATGTGAAGTTTCAAAGCTTGTAAACTGTTAAATATATACACACAAAGCCACTATAATTGAAGAAAGATGTAGAGGTCTCGTAAGTGGTTGTGCAAATGATCGACGACTCCCGGTCCAGATTACTACAGTGTTACCTTGCCGAAACAGAGTTTTACATCAAGAGGACAAAGGGTATAATGGGATTTTGTAGATTAGATATGAAGGGAAGGCCAAGTATAGGGTTGTTAGTGCAGGAAGCACGTTAAGGATGAACGAAAATTCTTTTAGCCTGGGAAGTCCAGAAAAGCGGGTGCGATCCCATCATACGACCTCAATACTTTCTCAAAGGCCATCTAACTTGAGAGTAGGCAGAGCTGATTCAGTGGAATAGCTATGGCAAGAGTGACTGGTAAAGACAAATTTCAGCATGAAGAAACCGAGTGTCACAGATGCATATGGTTCGGAGGAAGAGGGATATGAGAACACTTCCATTAACTGAAGGACAGTAAGAAAAGAAATGAATGTACATACCATTACTTGTGATAAGGAAAGAGAAGCCAGCCATGTCTCTGTGACTCATTCTGACAGTTTACTTCAGTCTTGAATATGTTCAGAGCTCAAGAATGCTTGCTGCTCTTGTGGTGACCTGCATAACCCTCCAGCAGTTAGAGGCCGTGAGTCCAACACCAAGTTCGGGGCAACCAAACGCACCAAAAAGGTGGCGGCACAACTACTGCTCTTGGGGACAGCACAACCTCCAACAAGTGCCTAACTCCCTGCTACCCATCTACTGGCAGGTGAACAAAAGACATCAGGTAAAAGCAAATGTGCCCAATCATTCCTGCCCCTTGGGGAATTGAACCTGGATCCCAAAGCTGGGAGCCAAACATATACACCCCCTATGCTACAAGTAAGAAAGAGTGAGACCACTGAGCTGATAAAGTGTTGGCTGGAACCTGAGGGTCAAACTTTGTACACTGAGCAGTCACTATCCACACAATGCCACCGAGGGCGTGATTGCAGCACTGCGTGGTAAAGCATGTGGTTTTGAGCGGGTATGTGGATATGGTATCTGTGAATACAATATAAATGCCTGTATATCGAAGCTGCACAAAAATGTGCTATGTCCAAGCTGGAGAGAACAGCGTTATGTCCAAGCTGAGGAGAATAATAGTGTCCGAGCTGCAGTGAATACTAATGGTTTTACTAATGTAAATATTGTTGTCAATTCACATCATTACCTCGTTTCAGAATTATAACCTTGATAGCTAAAGTAATCTATAAATAACACCAATCAACAATCTGCAACATGAACCAATATGCATTATTTGTATAGATAATAGCTTTTTTTTTTTAGTATAGTCATCTCTCCATAGTTTAAATATACTATTATAGAAAAAATTAAACTATAATGACATTTATAATGGAATATAATTAATGATGATAAACTGTGACCAAAATCAACAAGGAAAATAGACTCCAAGGACGCAAATTTAGGAATGCGTGACCCCCTTGCGTGCGACAAGGAGGTTGAGGACGGGATGCTTCTTGATGTAGTCGACGGCCTTCTTGTGAGTCACCATGGTGAAGTCGTAGCCATTGCACTGCAATATCTTGTCGTGAACGCGCAATCCTGCACGAGCAGCTGCACTCCCGTCATGGACCTGTGGAGGTGTGCAAGAGTCAAGAATGAAACTGGCATGACAATTTGTCATTCTTTTTACATTACACATCTTTGAAATGTAGTAGGGTATGGCAGGATACAACAGGGCATGGCAGGATACAACAGGGTATGGCAGGATACAACAGGGTATGGCAGGATACAACAGGGTATGCAGGATACAACAGGGTATGGCAGGATACAACAGGGTATGGCAGGATACAACAGGGTATGGCAGGATACAACAGGGTATGGCAGGATACAACAGGGTATGGCAGGATACAACAGGGTATGGCAGGATACAACAGGGTATGGCAGGATACAACAGGGTATGGCAGGATACAACAGGGTATGGCAGGATACAACAGGGCATGGCAGGATACAACAGGGCATGGCAGGATACAACAGGGCATGGCAGGATACAACAGGGCATGGCAGGATACAACAGGGTATGGCAGGATACAACAGGGCATGGCAGGATACAACAGGGCATGGCAGGATACAACAGGGTATGGCAGGATACAACAGGGTATGGCAGGATGCAACAGGGTATGGCAGGATACATCATCTTCAAGAAGTGCCGGACCAACCGGGCTGTGGTGCATATTTGGGCCTGCGGGCCTCTCCAAGCAATAGCCTGTCGGACCAAGTTCTTGCAAGTCAGGGCCAGGCTTGGGGAGTAGAAAAACTCCCAGGACCCCATCCAGGTACAACAAAATATGATAAGATACAACAAGACATGGCATGATGCACTATGAGAGGGCATGTCATGGAGAGAGATGAGATGAGATGATATGATATATGTCCAGCTTGTCCTTTCTAAGGTTTCCCAACGTCAAGAAAGCAGTCAGATTAAGGTGTCCTCTCCTAACCTACCAGAGGACCCAAAACAGAAAATGGGACAGTACGTCAATTTGGCGAGCCACTTCCATTTTCAAGCACGTCAATTTTTTACCTTATGTAACGCATACGATCGAATTGTGACGTTCTTTGTAAGAGGACAGGTTGGTTTTATAGGACATGGCACTGTATGACACAGCCATGCACAGAGGAAGTAGGTGCACATGGAACTGAGGTGGAAGTCATAATCACCTTTAATTCTGAGTCCCTAAATAAATACGGACTATCTCTGGGCATCCAAATGAGTACAAAGCCGTAAATGATGAACACTGGCAAACATAATCTGCAATGAACAGCAACCCATTAAGCTTCCACTTCAGAAGGCAGATCAGATAAAACAGACTCTGAGGGAACAACCACCACAGGACTCAGGCTCACAGGTGTCACCGTCCCAACGGCAAGCGCGGACGAGGCAGAAACAACGATCATTGACATTTGGGAATGAAGATGAACATCCCTCAAACTCGCAAATAGCGATAGTGGGATCAATGGGACGATGCACGGGAAAGCATGCCAAAACAACATTGGGGATTTCCCAGGGCCTGCATGTAATAAGCCAAACAACTAGTAACTAGCTGTTTGTAATTAGTTGTTTGTAACATGTAATCACAAACAGTGTAGTAACTAGCACCCAGGTACTGGAGACACTCATCCTAAGAACAGTCACCTTGCTCGGAAACAAAATCAGGGCTGCGCAAGGTTTCATTTCTGCCCTGCATTGTCTGAAAAATGCAAAAAAATCCTGCATTTTTCTTGACAGTTTCATTTCACATTTTATACCTAACAAATGTTACTATACAGTGTGTGTCATATGGACAAGCAGGTGAGCCCCTAGTGCATTCCCAATAGAAATAAGAATGAATGCCCCCTAACCACGGACCTAAACGGAAGAGTCAAAGACTTGAAATACCCGAGGTAAGGCCACCATGGTGGCGTGGAATGGCACTCAAAAGAGGCGAATACCCAAACACACCAGAGAAGTAACTGTCAGTGCAGGGAAGCACTAGTGGATGCCCTGGGAAGGAAACCCTGAGTTCATGCAGCCTGAAGCACCAAACTAGCCAAGTTCATAAAAGCTGGATACGAAACATGCACATGAAGAAAATACCAAAAAACCAGCGTTAAATGTAATGAAACGCCATTTTTTGGGTGAGACCCGGAGGCTCTCCGGAGCTATCCAGGCTGATATGTATATCATTAGACTTTGGCATCAGTGTGAATGGAGTTCTAGGCTTACCGAGAATGAGCCAGAACCTGGCCACCTCAGAGAGGCACAAGGAGCAATGGCCTATTGAAATGCACACGGGATTAGTAGCATTCTGTGTCTGCCATTGGCCGGGCCAGACACCCAGAAAGGTAAGTGCCTCAGAACAAACCCCTATTCTGGTTAAACAACTAAAGAAGACTAACGAGTGGACAGAACTCTCCAATTGGAAATGAGCATGACGTCACACGTGCCGCACCGCATGTCTGCGCAGCTCCCCCCCCCTCACTGGGAGGGGAAAGGGAAAGCCCCCGACCCACCGCACTGGTAATCTACCCTCCAGTTTGAGGCTGGATGTCAAAACTCGCGAAAAACCACTAACCGGGAGGGAGGGAGGGTTGCTGGGAAGCCTTCGAGTCTCACCCAAAAAATGGCGTTTCATTACTGTACATTCAATGCAAGTTTTCTGTGGGGAGCCCCCCTTCAGCTCCCCTGAGATAACTACCCAAAGCCAAGGACAAAAGAAGGACAAACCCAGGAGGTGGAAACCACATGCCCAAACTTGAAAACAAAACAACTGGCAACACCAAAGGACCCTGCGGACAACCTGGGAGACCTGAACCCTGGAACAGGGACGCAGGGAACTGAGTCAACCCAAAGCTTGTCCAGGGCCACAGAGGCCGCAGCACAAAGGCGACAGCCGAGAGCCACAATCGGACACAAAAAGATGCACCCCCGGCCAACCAACCAAGCATAAACAACCCCAGGGACCCCACTGGAAAACAGCTGTCCCAACCTCACCAGAAAAGAAGAGACGGCTGCAAACAAACAAACCAATCACCAGAACACTAAGGAGCAGAAACCACTAAGAAATAAACCTGAACCGAAGGGGCCACAACAAACCGAGGGGAAGAGAGAAAAGAGCACCCAGGCCAAGACCAAGACGGCTCAGGTGCCGCAAGAGCAGGCTAGAGGTGGAACAACGCCCGAGATAGTCTGCAAAATGGTGGAGATGGAACATCAAAACCGAAAGCAATCTGTAGCGGCTAGTGCTAACATGAGACAAGGTGATAGTGTGCGGCAAGATGACGGTCCTGAACCTCCACAAGAAAAGGGCAAGACCACTTCAACAAAAAGTGCAGTAGACCTACGAAAAGACAAAAAGAAAAAGGAAGGACCGCCAGGAACCCCATACTTCCGCTGAGGCGAACCACACAGGTGGGACACCATCAACGAAGACACCTGATCACCAAACAGATGGTGATGGACTCGAGTCAAAAGTACCACATGCGAAGACTCGAGGAGAAGACCGAACCAGGCCCGTAACAGACCAGACCGAGCATCGGAAAGAGGCGGAGCCGTGGGAAAACCCCTGGGGGCGGACACCGAACAAGCAGCATCTGAAACCAAGGCTGTCAAGGAACCAGATGGAACGACCTCCAGGGCACTGGGAACCCGAATCCGGCAAGCCGGAAAAGAACCAACCCAAGCGAGCACACACGCCCCATTCGGGAGGAACCCCCTCGGAATCCCTGAAGGACCAACAAGTCCAATAACAGATGACAACGAGAAGCTGTCGCTTACAGAAACTGCCCAACCGCAGACACTGCAAACAGCAAGGACAAAATGGTGACAAAAACTTAAGAGCCAGGGCCCAGGCAGAGGCCAACAAGGAAGCGAGCTCCATGAGCCAACACGCGAGACTCGAAGCGAAAACAGTGACACCGCATCCCGCAGGATTGGTCCAACACGCTCCAGCAGGGCAGAACGACACACGCGTCGCCGATTAATGTATGAGGAGAACTACTGAAGGCGTGTACTGCACTGAAATAAAAATTTCCATATAGAAAACCAACACAACAGAAAAGTCCATAACCAGGGCCGCAATACCCAGCTCCTCCCGATCTAAGGAAAATGAACTGTACGGGGCAGGAGTGGCTGATTGGAAATCGACATCCACCTATAGACATTGCAACACAGCAGCTGACAGTGTGATACAAGAAGATGAAAGAACTCAGCGCTATAACTGAACACTGGCCAGTTCAAAATCAGGGAACTGAACATGTACATAGTCCAGCCTAGCACTATCAGTAGGATAGCCAACATGCACATACTAATATACACAAGAATGTGTAGCATAGAGGTAGGAAATATGTGAATATGCAATGAAAAGACCTTAAATATGGTCCAAATACCAGTAGCTAGGGACAATAGAGTATAATAGATATGATGAACTAATATAACCTTGGCAGCAATTGGTAACTTAATGTACAAAATCAACTATATATACAGCGAGATTCCAACGTATATACAAGAGTGTAGCCAGGCATTGAATAACGGTCAATGAATGAGTGTTCAATCAAGAAAAGATTCAGTCGCTGAAAAGAGTAAATAAAAAATTACAGAAATTCGAGACTATGCCCCACAGTGTAACCAATAACAATATTTATTTAATTTATTTGTTCAAATTTAATTTATCAGTATTTATACTGACAAATTAAGGTTATGTGAAGATGCACACAAATTGGCCAACCAACATACCACAAGCAATACCCAATACTCATCCAAAAATCGAAAACCAGTGCGTGGCTGACGGTGTCGCTAGATCGTATAAGCCCACCTGTAGAGTGTAGGCACTATAGTGGCACGACACAGCTTAGCTGTGTAATATTCTGGAAGCATTGCCAGTGGATTATGTCCTAAGGTGTGTATGCAGTAGGATAAGATTAGGCGTAGAGCAGAGGTGGACACGGCATCACTCCGAGCCACCCTACACCCGTATTCTGAGAAAAGAACTAGGAATTTTCCCTACATAGAAAATCCAGAACTCCCCCCAGTATCAACAGGACTATGACCAAAGAGAGAAAAGTAGCTAGTCCGGTGTATTACCCGTGAGAAAGGTCGCGGAACACCAACACGTGTTTATACCATCCATAAACAAAACTATCTCCCTCGGGCCATGCTCAGAACACATGAGGTCCAAGCTGGCTCCACCCGTCTTTCGGGGAGGGTAGCCGACAATGTTTATTTAACTATTATTGTTATTGCCGAGACAGATTACGGAGAGATGTGAGTATAAAATAATCACACGATTGAAAGATGACAAGTAGTACGGAAGAGGACCTAGAACGGGCAGGAGGTAATCCTCACTGGAAATTGACATATGTTCCAATAATATTTTAATTCTGGAAGAGTTTCTCGAACCTTCAAGACCCTCGATAATTGAGCACAAAATCACGGAGGCACATATGGGCCCAGCGTCATACATGACCAAGGGTCATGCAGGATCCCCCAGACGATTCTTACACGATTGTGACATGAAGTAGAAGAATACATGTCCCAGATAAGAATGTCGAGAAAGTGGGTAAAACTACTCATAGGAAGAACTGAACCGACTGACCCGAAGGACACGGAACCGACCCCAAAACTAACGCGTTGCAGATGGGGGGAAAGGAAAACCTCACTCCTTGTAATAGAAAACCCCGCTCAGAGGGTTGGAAAACCCAGGCAGGGTCAACAGGGCCCGAAGCTCCCAAGTCAGTTCCTCCCCAGCCCTGGGAACCTCCACTGTAGGCCCCGGAGGAGAGTCATTCTCCAAACTCCAAAGCCCAGGCCTCACAGGAAATAACCGGGGCAGCCAGAAAAGCAGGAAGAGAAGAAGCCAACTGGTCAGACCACGGCATTACGGCTGGAGGAAAAGACTCGAATGCCTCCGTCACCACCCTGGAAAATTCCAATATAATGACATGAATTATGTATATATATATATATATATATATATATATATATATATATATATATATAATATCACCTCATATATAAGATATATATATATATATATATATTACAATTACTATATGCTTATATAGGTTTCAGAGCTCTATATGGTTGTAATGAAGTACACCAGATCAACCAATTATCATTTGAACATAAGAGTAAAGGAACTAGAGAACGCCTATGGGCCCCATACAAGGGCCCATACCTTGTATGGATCCACATAAGATAGCTCCTTTTTACCATTTTTCACTACAAATAGGAGCAGCCTCAATATGGGCCTATTTATATACATTCATACCTATTTATACTGGTTGATACCTGGTTGATGGGGTTCTGGGAGTTCGTCTACTCCCCAAGCCCGGCCCGAGGCCAGGCTCGACTTGTGAGAGTTTGGTCCACCAGGCTGTTGCTTGGAGCGGCCCGCAGGCCCACATACCCACCACAGCCCGGTTGGTCCGGCACTCCTTGGAGGAATAAATCTAGTTCCTCTTGAAAATGTCCACGGTTGTTCCGGCAATATTTCTTATGCTTGCTGGGAGGACGTTGAACAACCGCGGACCTCTGATGTTTATAGGATACTGCTCCTATTATATATACAATCGATCAACTAGATCTCCATGGACAACACTGAGTATGTGGCATGGGGCAGCCAGTGTTACGCTCTCTTGACACGAGATGGGGCACCATGAGCTCCACACATGCTAAATTTGTATAATGTATATGCTTGTAATGGAGAGTATACCACACATTGAAAAAGTACTCAAGTATATAACAGTACTGAAACATTGTACATACATAATATATATTCAAATATACAAATATATATAAATACTAACTAAACAAAAGTACTGGGACCGAAGCTGACCCTAAGGGCGAGGTAGGAAACCACGCAGTCACTACCCCTATGGGAAAGGGGACCTGAAGGATCCAGAGAAGGGAACTCTGAACCCCAAGGGGTGTACTCAAGGGGCACTTAGGGAAGAGTGTATGCAACCCATGGTACAAAATCCTGGCCACTGCCAACACACAGAAGGAACACCTGCAGGGAAAAGCCAATCAGGTAATCGAAGCCAGAGCAGGCGTCCACCCCATATAGCTTCAGCCAACAAATTGGCGGTTTGGCTGCCGGCTCGGTGGGCTGCGACCCCCTTTGGGGGGGAGGGGGGGGAGGGGGGGGGTTGTGGCAGCGCGAACGAGCAGCGTGCAGTGCGATGGCGTGTTGCCCATTAGCTTGTTTTTCTTTGGGGGAGTTTCTCGCCTCTGTTCAGTCTCGGGTTGCAATATTTCTACCAGGTGGGGTCTGTTTTGAAGCATCTACCTTTCTGGGTGCTCAACCCCCGGTCGATGGCAGACATGAATACTTTCATACATGTGAGATTCATAGGCCATTGCCCCCTTCCCCTCTCTGAGGGGTCCCATGATCTGGGTAGTGAGCCCCAGTAGACATGACATTTGATTGAAAGTCTGAATATGTGTGAAGTCCCATACTAATATTAGCTAATACCAGTCCAATAGCTCCAGGAAGCCAATTGGGCTCCCCGACAGAAAAGACTTGGAGGATTCCCCGTAGAGCTAAAACATGTTGACATGTGCATTTAATAAAACCAGCAATGAAATTATCATTAACTAGTAGAAGAACTATATACTGACCTCAGTGCAATAGATGCCATTGTCTGTATAACCTTGAGGACTCTTCATGAAATCCTGGTCAATACCGCCTCCAATTTTGAAACCGCATTTAAGGACCTGAAATATAAATATTTCATATTAGATTATGCAACGTAGCCTTTAACCCTTAAACGGCTGCAATCGCTATCTGCAATTATCTCCTTTGCTCGAATCACATAATACAATATTTTTTAATTAGTTTTGAAAAAAAAAAGTCATCTCCACCATAATCTAGAACTTTTAATTACCCAAGGCATTTAAAGGTCAGTGTTATTTACTACAAGAATGAATGAACTACCTGTGACAAATGGATTCAGCCGTCTTGAGTTTGATCTTAACAGGGTTAAAACCCATGGAAAGGGGCATCTTGAGAAGATGAATGGGTGTGAATGTAGTCTTTGATAAACAGGATTGTAAATAAGTAACACAACTCACACGATGGTGTTTTGGGCTCTACTGGGCCTTTATCAAGTTGAAATTGTAACAAAGTATATATTTAGCCTAAAAAACATAAAAAGATTAAAAGCGCACGTTCCAAACCCGTTTACAGTATATGGGACAACTGTGAGCTGACAAAGTTGTACATGAATACCTTACGTGACAATACAGTACATACTGTATGTTACTCTACAGTGATCAAGACACACTCAATACCTTATGTGACAATACAGTACATACTGTATGTTACTCTACAGTGATCAAGACACACTCAATACCTTATGTGACAATACAGTACATACTGTATGTTACTCTACAGTGATCAAGACACACTCAATACCTTATGTGGCAATACAGTACATACTGTATGTTACTCTACAGTGATCAAGACACACTCAATACCTTATGTGGCAATACAGTACATACTGTATGTTACTCTACAGTGATCCAAGACACACTGAAATATTTCTTCAGCTTCCGTTGTGCTGGGTGGGGTATCAGCTCTTCAGCCATGTTATTGTGACACATCGTCTGCACAGGACATTATGAATTTCCTAGTTTCATACTGTTACGAACCTGTTATATCATTTATATGAATGTAATGTTTATTAGAGTAGCAATTAGTATATTATTTCAATTTAGATGTAATAAAGATAGTAGTGCGCTTATTTACCTATTATGGTTGTTTTGTGAGAGTATATTTGTGTCTTCGCTGTTTAGCATTTACTGTGTTCATGTTGGATATGTGAGGGAGCGCACGAGCGCTAGGCGAGGAGTCAGGTGGTACTGTATTTTGGAGGTCCAGCTAAGCTTGACTGGATGTTGTGAGATTAAGAATACCAACCTTGTCATTGAGTGTGTGGGAGGATGGGGGGGGTAGGAGTATGTTGTTGGCTGTTCCTTGACCCCAAGCTGTGTTTGTGCAAGTTGGAATCGTCAGTGTAAGATTCCTTGCAGAGATAGCTTAGCAAGGAATTATTTAGGCCTAGGGCGTTCGAACACATTTGTCCGAACGCAGGCTGCAGGCAGGTCGCAGCACGGTGTTTTGAGTTAGTTGTACTCTGGAGCTGCTTGATGGGAGACGTGGACTGGTGACTAATATGAATGAATGGCTAATTCCACTACTGTGATACTAATGTACAGACCATCCTCCTATTTAACCAAATGGGCCATGCCCCGAGAGTCACCAGTCCACGTCTCCCATCAAGCAGCTCCAGAGTACAACTAACTCAAAACACCGTGCTGCGACCTGCCTGCAGCCTGCGTTCGGACAAATGTGTTCGAACGCCCTAGGCCTAAATAATTCCTTGCTAAGCTATCTCTGCAAGGAATCTTACACTGACGATTCCAACTTGCACACGTTATGCAAGGTACCACTGTATTTTCATTTTTCGTTGGCTCCGATATCTGCTGGTTGAGTGAAAATTTGTCACAGAATCCAAGTTGTTCTCTAATCTGTGGTTGGTTAGGTCTCGATAGATTTCCTGGTATAATATTATTGTTTGCTATTCTCCATCTGAGACTAGGCAAGTTGAAGTCACATAGGAAGATAATATCAGGTATCGGGTTCTCCAAATTATCAAGGCTATTCTCTGTTTTGTTTATCTGTTCTGTGAATTCCTCGGCCGTTGCATCTGGCGGTTTGTATATTATAATAATCACTAAATTTATTTTCTCTATTTTTAATCCCAGTAACTCTCCCCAAGCCCCGACACCAAAAGACAAGGACGGAGCAGCCGTAGAAGCCGGAAGAAAGGGGGCCCACTGGTCAGACCCAGACGCTTCGGCCGGGAGACAAGACTCAAATGCCTCTGCCCCCCTCCCCCCCCGGAAGGGGCACCCCCAAAGCTGCCCGAGTCTCGAGATCAAGTAACCCCTGCTCCGACTCCGAAACCCTCAGACGTTTCGGGGCCGGAAGCAAGGGGGGGGGGGGGGACCAGAACGAACAGAAGGGGAAGGACGAGGAGGTGCGGACTGAACCAGGATCGAAGCGACCCCCACCCCAAAGTCTGGGTCTCGAAAAGCAAAACGGGGCAGCCCCGGGGCATCCGGGTGAGCAACCAACTGAGCGCGTTGCAACAGACGAAACCGAGCTTGCAATGCACCGCCGCCTGTACCCAAATAGAATCAACAGAGGATTGGGTAAATTGAGTCACAAGCAAGCAGCAACACTCACAGGACTCAGGGTCAAAAGTATCACTGACCCAACAGGCAGCGTGGCAGAGGCAAAATCAATGGGGGTCACCCCGAGACAAGGGGACCGAGCAATCCTCAAACTCGCACACAGCGAGTGGGGACTCCGGGGTCACATCCATCAGACCCACACGCCCCCTACGGGATTCCCAGGGTCCCGGGCGTTTACTTGAAGAGGACTCGTGCTCAGGTAGTCCCAGGCAGGGCGCTGCTAACCGGCGGCTAAAACTACCAAGAGAACTTCTGTAGCTGTACCCCAGGGAGGTGTACACTCACGGGGACCTAGCAGGGGGCGCCACCAAGGAAAACAGTGGATGGGTAACCACCAGTGGAATAATAGGGCAGAACCTCCCACCAGGCAAAAACAAAAAAAAACCCCGCAAGAGGACAACGGACCCCAAGGAACAGAGCCGGCCGCTATGTCGGGAATACAAAGCTGTGCAGCACCCTGCGCCCCTACCAGTGCAAAATGCCTCTTACCTACAGGGAACAAGGGAGAACAGAACACCCAAAAGCCCAACAGGCGGCCGAAAAACCGAAAAGGTAAAACGGACCAGCAGAGGCAGACCCCGAGGAGCCTGTGGAAGGTGGCCCCAAGCCCCAAGGGCAGTACTTACAGGGCACCTAGGGAAGGCAGCCCTAGGCACATGCAGCCTGAGTACTGAAGATAACTCCTGGCTCTCGCACCCACAAAAACAAACACCACACGCAGAGCACAGTGCTGTAGCGACACTGGAGCCAGAGCACACGACCTACCCCTATAGCATCAGAATCAAGAACTGAGGTGTGGGTAGCCGGCGTGAAGGGTCTGGGGCTCCCCCCTTCCCCCTCCCGGGGAGGGGGGAGCTGCGCAGACAGCGGCGCGTCGACGTGTGACGTCACACTAGTTTGCTTGTTTTCTGTTGGGGAGTTCTATCCATTAGTTCGGCTTTTGGTAGCAATTTTAACCAGAATAGGGGTTTGTTTTGAGGCGCTTACCTTTCTGGGTGCCTGTTCCGGTCGATGGCAGACATAGAATGCTTCCAACCACACGGGGGGTTTCTATCTCTCCTTTCCTCTCTGAGGGGGCCCGGTTCTGGCTATGGTCCCCGGTAGGTCTAAGAACTCCATACACATGACTGATGCCAAAGTCTGACATTAGCATATCAGCCTGGGAAAGCTCCGGGGAGCCGACGGGGCTCTCCCCAGAAAAGAGGCGTTGACACAGCAGTCGCCAGAGGAGGTCTGCTCCACCCGAGCTATCAGGCAGGGATTGCCATACAGTACAACCTCGATTCAACGTACTATATGGGACCAACCCCAGTTCGTTGGAGCGTTGGATTAGTTGCAAGAGGTGACCTTCAGGAGGCGTTTGTGTGTCTTTTTTTTTCTTGTACACAATAAAAATGCATTATCATATTACATACTCTACCCTGTATATTACTTCTCTACTAAAAAATACTGTAATTCATAAATTTACCTTATTGTTGAAGTTATGTCCATCTTGAAGTTTCGTGAAGGTGTGAATGCTCTACATTAAATACGTACTGCAGTGCATTATGCCGTTAGCACTGTGTTGATTAAAAGTAGTTCTGCTGTATGTTGAGTACTACAATACAGTTTATGAAAACTATTGTACACTAAAATTACTGTAACTTTAATTTTAACACTGTGTACACACTTAAATTTAACACTTGTTCTAACTGTTCACGCTGCACACGATGTTTTTAGATGTTTGCATCAGCTTTGCTGGTGCTCGCTGCTGCTGTGGGTTCAGCTGCTTCTGAGCTGGTGCTGGCAGCTGTTGTACCAGTGCTAGGTACAACTGTGCTCGTGCTGGGTACGGCTGTTACAACTGTGTGCTGGGTACGGCTGTTCTCATGCTGGGTACAACTGTGCTCGTGCTGGGTACGGCTGTTCTGCTGGGTACGGCTGTTCTCCTGCTGGGTACGGCTGTTCTCGTGCTGGGTACGGCTGTGCTCGTGCTGGGTACGGCTGTTCTCGTGCTGGGTACGGCTGTTCTCGTGCTGGGTACGGCTGTTCTGGTGCTGGGTACGGCTGTGCTCCTGCTGGGTACGGCTGTTCTCGTGCTGGGTACGGCTGTTCTCGTGCTGGGTATGGCTGTTCTCGTGCTGGGTATGGCTGTTCTCGTGCTGGGTACGGCTGTTCTCGTGCTGGGTACGGCTGTTGTACCAGTGCTGGGTACAACTGTGCTCGTGCTGGGTACGGCTGTTCTCGTGCTGGGTACGGCTGTGCTTGTGCTGGGTACGGCTGTTCTCGTGCTGGATACAGCTGTTCTCATGCTGGGTACGGCTGTTGTACCAGTGCTGGGTACGGCTGTTCTCGTGCTGGGTACGGCTGTTCTCGTGCTGGGTACGGCTGTTCTCGTGCTGGGTACGGCTGTTCTCGTGCTGGGTACGGCTGTTCTCGTGCTGGGTACGGCTGTTCTCGTGCTGGGTACGGCTGTT